GGGAGGGGGAGGGGGAGGGGGAGGGGGTGTTGTTTGGTAAATTTCGCGAGGATGCGCAGCGGTAACGCAATTTCGCGATGCATCTCGAGCGGCGGGATAAAAAAGATAATTAAACGTCTCGTTCTTTTTGCCGGCATACGCTTAAACGGGAAAACTGTTGGCAACGTTCGGCGAAGTTTAATGAAGAACGCGGGCTATAAATTGCCCGATAAAACGATGCTTTATTGTTAATGCCGGCCTGTTGCAACAAAGTTTGACCAGGGAATGAGCTGAATAAATTATCCGGTCTTCGGATGCGCCCGGGGAACGGGAGAGTTTAATCCTGAATATTCCACGAGCTTCTTACACGCGGTATTTCATTTTACAAAAGATACAGCCCACCGGCTCTCGTTGTTGTCCCGTCCTCTCTCCAACGACGTGAAGCTTTTTCGCAGCCTTCGCTTTCCCATCGAGCTTGGACAGCAAAGCGCGCAACACGTTGAAATATAATTGTCATCGCATTAGCATCGTCGTACTATATTTATCCTTTTAGGCAAAATTATCCTTGTATAATCAATTTGAATAATCTACGATTATATATCAAACACTTGAGGCTTTTTTCTTTTTTTTTTGAAAGTGACACAAGTCTACTTTTCTTTATTTGTAATAACAAAGTCAACGGTATTCAATATCCTCAGTATCTTAAATTAATCAAAAGAAGCTTAATTGTAAAATGTTGTCGCAAGAATGTCTTTTTTCTTTTGAAAGTACAAGTCCATTCGTAATAATCAATAATTAAAACAACTTAATTATAAATTATCACGACTTCAGTGTGCACTGCCCTTAAATTTTTCTATAGCCAATGTCTCGAAAACACAACGTCATAAACATTCTGTTTAGCTTTCTTTTTTCGCAAGCTTCAAGTGATTCGTTTGTTTCTCTTAAAGATACTTACAGATTATAACGTGAGTATTATTTAATATCATTGTTATCGAATCAGAGAATCAATTAGTTTCAGATAATTCGTATTTTCGTAAGTCGTTTGTTTATGAACAAACAGTGTCAGAATTGATTTGCTGCGTGTGTTCCATCACCGAACCGATCTTGGAACTTTCTTCTGTCGAGAAAGATAAAAACTGTTTTAAACGTGAAATCATAAAGTTTGCCGAACGATGGTCGAAGGTAATCGGACAAAATGGTCCATATATTGATAAAGTTTGTCGTGAAAAATTCGCTTTTCATTTGCACACAGAAGAACGCAATTACTTTCTGGCCGATATCTAATAGAATCGTAGAATTCTTTGTGTATTTGGTACAAGTATTTGAACAGTCGACGATTATTTACTAGATCCACACACATTCTCAGACAGGTTTCGAATTTTGTCAACAGAATTACGAAATTCGTGTTTTTTTTTAAATATTTACAATTAAACATACGTGAAACACTTCTCGAACACTTTCACATCAGCCTATTGACAAAAAAAAAAATTAAATTACGACTTTTTTGCCTAATTAGACAGCAATTTTTGAACAGTGCGCCACCACGTCGTATGTAGTTCGTTTAAAATATCATCCGAAACGGGCTCGAGTGTCACGAGTTTCGTAACGAAGGGAACGAGAGTGCGCCGCCGGAATCTCTAGCGGATGAGATCCAGCGACTTCGTTAATATCCAGTGACGTTCCAACCATCTTGGGGCGGACGGTTGCCATCCTCGTGGACTGTGAAACGGCGAGCAAGTCCCCGCGGGATTGGTAGTTTATCGTCTCGGCACGGCAGAACGTAGATGGAACGTGGCTCTCGAAAAATTTCCACCGGCCGAGAACATGGTCACGTACTGGAATTTCTTTCGCCGGCCTTCGAACGGCCACCACCGCACCGTTTGAAATTCACGAGATCCGGCTAACTTCTCTCGCGATTTTTATCCTTCCGCCGTGCAACTTCTTCCCTCTCGAAAGTTTGCCGCGCAACTTCTTCACCCCTCGCGGGAAACCATAACAAAAGTGGAGAAACACCATCGTTCTCGGCGAACGTGGCAGCAAAGCTCTCTCTCTCTCTCTCTCTTTCTCTTTCTTTTGATTTTTAAACTCGTTATTTGCGAAAAAATGAGTGCGGAGCATGTGAAATTCGCTTGCTGTCCGGAGTACAATAATCACGTTTTGTAGTAACTGTAGAAATTTGCGTTACGTTATGTATGAGAGAAAACGTCACAGTCACTTGCGTGCTCTTTTTTAAAATCCAATTTTTGTCAGATCGTTTTGTATCAACTGTAAGTGATGGAAACATGCTATTGCGAGGAGAACATAACGAATGGATATTTGGAGTCAGTTTTTGCAAAGAACAACTATCGTTTAGTCAACCATTAGCTTGTTAAAGTGTACTGTCCGTACGAATTTCTTCTTATGAATTTAATACAACAACAAAGATAATACAACCTTTTAAATGTACGAAAATCGATAATTGAAACAACTACAAACAACTATGCACATAGATAACCTCTCTCTCTCACTCACATACGTATACATTAATTTTAATAAATTAACTGTTACTGATCCGATGGGAAATTGCATTCCTGAAATTGCAAAACGTGGCATGTATCGTGTCGTTGTTTAATTTTTCGTCGCGTCATTGGAAACGCGCGTTGTGCGAGGCTGCATCAATTATGAACGACACTGTACGCCGAGGAAATATAGCATCGACAAGGTTAATCCGAGCGAGAGCACGCTTTCCTGCCGACAGCGGCCACCGTGAACGCAATCAGGACAATTGACCCGAGCTAGTCACTCGACTGAATAATTGCCCCGCTTCCGGTTCCGCTTTTATCCGCTGCCATCGTATTGGCCGACCCTCGACATTAGCCGACGTGAGGCGATACCTCGAGACTCGAGATCGTGACGCCCCATCGCCTGGGAAGATGTTCTCGAGGA